CAAACTAAGTGTGGATTTTGTAAAAATAATTTTTATACCCTACACAACTATGTTGTCAGGGTATTATAGCTTTGTGCAGCCCCAAAAGTTTGTAACGCCACGAAATATTGGTCCTAGACCCACCTTTAAGTATACCGATCGTCATATCTCGACTAGCTAAGTTGATCTAGACATGTGTGTCCGTCCGTCCGTCCATTATAATTTGTAAACACGATACAGGCCACAGTTATGGACCAATCTTTACGAAATTTTGCATGTAGGATGGGTTCTGGCCGATGAAGACCCCTATTGCTTTTGGGAATGATCGAATAATATTTAGGGGATGAAATGGACCAAATACTAAATGTTTGTCGGTTTTTCTGGTCGCTCCAGAGGCCGCAATTATGGCCCATACATCGTGAAATTTTCCATGGAGAAGGGGATTAGGCCAAAGAATAAGCATGCCTGTTTTCATAAAGACTGACTTTTGTGTGAAAAATGACAAAATTTGTATATATTTACCGCTGAAGGACATAGACCCGAGAAGTTTATATTATATCCATGAGGAGTGGTTGACCTTTAAATTAATACTAACTATATTGTTGTATGTCCTCGGATGAGGGAGTTACACCTAAATATTTACAGGTATCTCCGTATTCGTATATTATTTAGTAATCCATTATAACTCTAGAGAGCGGAACTATAGCGCTGATCGCTTTGAAATGTTCCATGAGGTTCCAGTTATGGTCAAGGACAACCCCTATAATTTTCGGTGATGATCAGATAATAATTTTGGAATGAAGTGGACCGAAAACTTAATTTTTTTGTGTTATTATCGAGTCGATCTATAGACCACAAATGAAAGCCGAACATCACAACACAACCCACGGTGAAGGGAATCTGGACAATAGCTGTACTGAATACTCGTAATATTCGGAAAATATGTCAGTTTGAGGAAGAGTTGCTGTTTACCACTAATCGGGCAAGAGGTTGCAAATATCACGAATTATTGCCCAGGCTCGGAATATACATCCGCAGAAAATTTGAGTTCCGTGGTAGTTGTGTAGGGTATCGTATGGTCGGCCCCATCCGACTATACTGCTCCGCTCACTGGTTTTTGATATAGACGTAGATTTATAAAGAATATTTTTTTCAAGGACATATAGAGTCGTAGATTTTTAAAGTATAATCTTCTCAAGGACATACACAAGCGTCGATTTTTAAAGAATGATCCTTTCAAGGACATACACAAGCGTAGATTTTTAAAGAATATTTTTTTTTATGAACATATACCTCAGTGACATTTTGAGGCGTCGATTTTTAAAGAATACATTTTTTAAGGATCTTTAGTTTCATGGATCTTTACAAGCGTACATTAGTAAGAAATCATTTTTTCTTCGACCCATGCATTCGTAGATTTTCAAAGAATATCTTTTCAAGGACCTATGCAGGCGTAGATGTTTAAAGACTAATTTTTTCAAGAACCTATACAGGCGTGCATTTTTAGAGAATATTTTTTTCAATGACCTATACAGGCGTAGGTTTGTAAAGAATAATTTTGTCAATGACCTATATATTCATGGATTTTTAAAGAATACATGTTTTCAAGAATCTATAGAGGCGTGGATTTTTAATGAATAATTTTTTCAAGGACCTATACAGGCGTAAATTTTTAAAGAATATTTTTTCAAGGACCTACACAGACGTGGATTTTTAATGAATAATTTTTTCAAGGACCTATACAGGCGTAAATTTTTAAAGAATATTTTTTCAAGGACCTACACAGACGTGGATTTTTAAGAATAACTTTTTGAAGAATTTTTTTTCAACGAATACAGGCGTAGATTTTTATTTTGTTGTTTACAGGCCCACGGAAGCGTGGATTAAACAAATAGTTTTTCAAGGATCAAAATATGGGAATATTTTCAAGGACCTACAGAGGCGTAGGTGCGGGGTAGGCGTACATTTTTAAACAATAATTTACAGGCGTAGGTTTTTAAAAACCCAATTTTGAAAAAATACAAGAACATTTTGAATTTTTTGTTCAAAATGTAAGACTGTATATTCGGTATATACATTATATATACAGATTTCTCTTGTTCAGTGACTTATGCTAAAAATTGATGGAGAATATTTTTGTCCTTTATACTATCCTTCTAAAACGACATCTTGTGGGAAAAAGGGTAAAAACTAGTAATAAGTACGATATTAACCCTAAAATGAGTTTTTGTTTTTTAAGATTTTTGATGTTTAGGCTGATGATTTGAGTTCTAGTCTATTCTGAGACTCATAGTAAAACTTTATGGCGAACATTTCTGTAGAATATTCTGAGCAGCTTCAACCCCGTTTTGAATGAGTTTTCAATCACTCCTGGAAAAGGGGACCGAAAAGACCCCTTTAATGAGTCGGTTGAGGGTTAAAGTTACATACCAAAATATTCCTCGATATTTTATCAGTAATATTGCCGAAGACAGTATATACCTTAAAAGCAATGATTTCAAGAAATCATAATTCGAAAATTATTAAAATTCTAGAAAAGGGGGAATATTGCCACGCCATTTTTGGTTACCTCCCGACGTAAACTTTCAAAACGCCGATACACGTGTCTTCTTTTTTTAGCCCCTCTTTCATAATCTGTTGGAATTTCCCGGTAATTATCAAAAAAATTCAAATTTGTCGCACAGTGTTATTGTTTCCAGGGCCACAAAAGCGCGGATTAAAAAAGAATGTTTTTTTCAAGGATTAACATAGGGTGGGGGTTTTTATACCCTACACAACTATGTTGTCAGGGTATTATAGCTTTGAGCAGCCCCAAGAGTTTGTAACGACGCGAAAAATTGCTCCTAGACCCACCTTTAAGTATACCGATCGTCATATCCCCACCAATTTAATCGATCTAGACATGTGTGCCCGTCCGTCCGTCTGTCCATTATAATTTGTAAACACGATACACAGGCCGCAGTTATGGGCCAATCTTCACGAAATTTTGCATGTAGGGTGGGTTCTTTCCAAAGAAGACCTCTATTGCTTTTGGTAAAGATCGGTTAATATTTAAGGGATGAAATGGACCAAATACTAACTTTTTGTCGGTTTTTGTGGTTGCTTTAGAGGCCGCAATTATGGCCTAAACACCACAAATTTTTGCATGGTGAAGGGGTTCGGGCCAAAGAATAAGCATGCCTATTTTGATAAAGATCGGTCAATATTTAACGGGCCAAATGGACCCTGACTTTTGTGTGAAAAAATACAAAATCTTTATTCTGGGGCATATATACTTGCTCCTGAAGGAATTATACTCGAGAAGCTGATAGTATATTCAAGAGGAGTTGTTGACCTTCAAATTAATACCAATTATATGACTGTATGTACTCTGTTATCCGTAATTAGGTAAAGGTGACTATGTGCCTAGTATTACTATTACTCCATTAGAGGACGGAAATGTCGCGCTGATCGCTTTGAAATTGTACATGAAGTTCCGATTATGGTCAAGGACGACGCCTAGGGGACAAGGTGAAGGGGATTTGACCAAATGCTTAGAGCGGCTGTTTAGATGATGATCGGTCAATATTCCGAGGGTCAAATTAACAAAAACCTAAAGTGACCAAATTTTTATTTTATGGCGTAAAAATTCACTTCAAGAAAAAAAATGGAAAATATGCCAGGGTTAGAAAGTGAAGTTGTTGATATATAATCGGAAAGAGGGATGCAAATATCATGAAATATTGCGCAGCCTCAGAATATAGAACCGCAGAAAGTTTGCTTTTCGTGGTAGTTGTGTAGGGTATCATATGGTCGGCCCCGTCCGACTATACTGCTCTGCTCACTGGTTAATATTAAAATAATTATCTGATTTGTTCCGGGTTTTGGATTTGGTTCTAAGACTCTGTTGTAATTATTTCACCTGCGGAGAATATCGAGAACGTTGAACTATAGTCCGCATTTAGGCCTACCTTCCAAATAATGATACCTACCGATTTTCGGTATTTTTAATATTTAGCGCAAAGAAATGTATTCACATGCAATAATGTTAGTTTCGAAATAGAGCTATATCTGTTTTCAATTAGGCCGAAATAAAACCTGTGTATATTGGTGATGGCCTTATATAACTGTGAACTCTTAATTGCAGTACCATACTTACCATGCGTCGTCAATATCGGACCATTTTCTGGGGTTTTTAGGAAAAATATCCATTAAAAATTGCTGATATTTGTATTTGGTGTACATTTAATTTTCGGTATAGGTTCACTTTTGGGTATGTACCCTATATTTTCGATGCTAGTATCTATTAGTATACCTATGGTGGAGGGTATCCAAAGTTCGGTCCGGCCGAACTTAACGCTTTTTCACTTGTTAAACAATAATTTTTGACCTATAAACCGCAGATTAAAAAAAAATATTATGGTTTCCAGGCCCACAGAAGCGTGGATTAAAAAAAATGGTTTTTTAAGGATCAACATAGGTTGGGGTTTTTAAAAATATTTTTTCAAGGATGAAAGCGTGAACTTAAAAAAATGTTTTTAATGACAAACATTTCCATGGAGTTTTTAAAAATATTTTAAGGACCCAGATTTCCTTGGTTTGTTAATAAATATTTTTTCAAGGATCCACATGAGCGTTGGTTGAAAAAATATTTTTAATTATATTTTTTTACAAGGGCCTGCACAAGCTCAGATATTTCAAAGTATATTTTGCACGGACCAACATAAGAATGGAATTTTGAGGTAATTTTAAGCGGGTGTTTTTTAAGCTGTAAGCATCTTAACAAGAATTAATTTTTAAAGCGATTTTGCATGGCCGTTCAGAAACTATTACTTTAAAATATGAATTTTTTAATGAATATTTTAATACAGCCAATTAAATGTTATTCTTTCAAAAAATTATTTACATATGTTTTCAAGTGCCAATTATATACTTTTTGTGTACTTTATTATAAAAATATCATTCCAATTAATTTACTAGAGATCTCACAACAACAAAAAAATTTTTGTATGGTCTCAAATTTTATATATTTCCCCAATAACCTGATAGCAAATAGTATTATTGCGTCTTTTATTATTCTCATCGTAGGCATATCCGTAACCCATCACTTTGTAACGCCCTTCAAGATTAGTAATTGATTCATAGCTGACATCGACAGTAAATGGTCCGTACGAATAGTTATGCTTTAATAAAAAAAGAAGAACCCAGAAAAAAAAAACAAAATACACAAACACTCACATTTCCCCATAAATAGATAGACTTACACCATAATTATTAACACATTTACGCCTTTCCTTGGGTATGTGTCTGGTCCAAACTTGATACCACAAGGATTTCGGATCAAATTGAACACTACAGAAATCCGTAATGGTCATCGAAAATGGTGTTGGCTGCCAACTACCACGTCGATAGTGATACATTTCACCACTTGCCTAGTGCGATTTTATCTATAAATCTATAAACCATAACTTAAGATGTCTACTCACCTCAATGCGATCCGTTGGTTGGACATCCCACAATAGGGTATGATTACCGGCCACACTCACAAATCCATCGGCATATTCCATTTCAATGAAGGTATTATCAACCACATCTATTACATTGAAGCTATTCGGTACATCGGGACATCCTTCGAACATCTCATCGTTTTCAAAGGCAAATCCATAACGGGCTGCCTCAACACACGAAATTGTGACAAAATATACTAGCGAACATTTGATAAATGTTGAATATGACATATTGTTGTATTGCCATAAAACTGCGAAATAGGTTTCGATATTTATAGTGAATTAACGATAAAAAATCTGCGATGATAAAATACAAGCGTGTTAACTTGATTGTTGTTTTAGTTAAAAGCTTCAATTAGATTTTTTATCAGTAAATTATAGCTAAGACGATCGACATGAATTATACACGGGAACAAAAAATATCGAAGTATCCAAAAGATGTTATCTATCATTAGTGTGGATTTAAAAATAAATTATGACCTTTATAAACATGTATTGTCTCATAGACTTTTACAGGTGTGATTTTTTTAAAAAATACCAAACTGTAGAGACAATGGGGTTGGAAATTTGATCTAGACCCTTTAAATCACACGTTACCTTTGTACTTATATTGAAAATGTTCTGCGAAGAAGTTATTAACCCCAAAAACAACTAAAATATAAAATAACCTAAAATATAAACACTTTGCTTTGAAAATTCCACTAGAACATAGAAACGGGTGTTCAAAAAAGACGCATCCGCATTTTGTATACCCTTCACCACATTGTGGTACAGGGTATTATGAAACGATATAGACACATGGTTCCTTTTGAGAATATACATAGAATCACTTTTTAAGTCGATTTATGCATGTCCGTCCGTCCGTCTGTCTGTCCATGTTAAATTGTAAACAAAGTACAGGTCGCATTTTTGATTCGAATTGGATGAAATTTGGCACAGCTCATTTATTTGGCCCAAGGACAAACCCTATTGAAATTGGGAAAAATCGGTTCAGATTTAGATATAGCTCCCATATATATATTTTCGTCCGATTTCATGTGAATGGTTCACCCAAGTCCCTATATATCTTTCGATTTGCACGAAATTTGGCACAGTGTACCAATTTAAATCTATAGTGATGTGTGTTAAGTTTCGTGAAAATCGGTTCAGATTTAGATATAGCTCCCATATACACTTTTGTCCGATTTTCAGTTAATAATGCACTAAAGTCCATATATATATATACCTAGATTTGCACGAAATTTGGCATAGGGTACTGAATTAATTATAGAACGATGTGTCTTAAATTTCGTGAAAATCGGTTCAGATTTAGATATAGCTCCCATATATATTTTCTTCCGATTTCAGGTAAATAGTCCACCAAAGTCCTATATATCCATCGATTTGCACGAAATTTGGCATAGCGTAGTGAATTAAGTCTAGAGTGATGTGTGCTAATCGGTTCAGATTTAGATATAGCTCCCATATAAATTCGTCCGACTTTATGTAAATGGTCCACCAAAGTCCCTACATATCGTCCGATTTGCACAAAATTTGGAATAGCGTATTAAATTCAGTATAAAATGATGATTGGTAAGTTTAGGGAAAATCGGAGATTTAGATGTATACTGTATTTGATGTGTGTTAAGTTTCGCGAAAATCGGTTCAGCTTTAGATATAGCTCCCATACATACTTTTTTCCGATTTTATGTAAATGGTGCACCAAAGTCCCTAAATATGCCTCAATTTGCACGAAATTTGACATAGCGTACTGAATTTAGTCTAGAGTGATGTGTGTTAAGTTTCACGAAAATAGGTTCAGATTTAGATATAGCTCCCATATATATTTTCTTCCGATTTTATGTAAATAGTGCACCAAAGTTTCTATATATCATTAGATTTGCACGAAATTTGGCATAGCGTACTGAATTGAGTCTAAAATTATGAGTGATAAGTTTCGGGAAAATCGGTTCAGATTTATATATAGCTGCCATATATATTTTCGTCCGATTTTAGGTAAATAGTGCACCAAAGTCATATATATCCTTCGATTTGCACGAAATTTGGCATAGCGTACTGAATTAAGTATAAAATGATGAGTGATAAGTTTCTGGAAAATCGGTTCAGATTTATATATAACTCCCATATATATTTTCGTCCGATTTTAGGAAAATATTGCACCAAAGTCCCTTTGTATCCTTCGATTTGCACGAAATTTGGCATTTCGTACTGAATTAAGTCTAGAATGATGTGTGTTAAGTTTCGCGAAAATCAGTTCAGATTTAGATATAGCTCCCATATATATTTTCGTCCGATTTTAGGTAAATAGTGCACCAAAGTCCTTTATATCCTTCGATTTGCACGAAATTTGGCATATCATACTGAACTGAGTCTAGAATTATATGTGAAAAGTTTCGGGAAAATCGGTTCAGATTTGTATATAGCTCCCATATATATTTTCATTAGATGTATGGTAAATAGTGCACCAAAGTCATATATATCGTTCGATTTGCACAAAATTTGGCTTAGCGTACTAAATTAAGTATAAAATGATGAGTGGTAAGTTTAAAGAAAATCTGACATTTAGATATATACTGTATGAAGTCTAGAGTGATGTGTGTTAAGTTTCGCGAAAATCAGTTCAGATTTAGATATAGCACCCATATATATTTTCGTCCGATTTAATGTAAATGGTGCACCAAAGTCCTTGTATATCCTTGGATTTGCACTAAATTTGGCATAACGTACTGAATTGAGCCTAGAATGATGTGTAGTAAGTTTCCTGAAAATCGGTTCAGATTTTGATAGAGCTCCCACATATGCATATGTATTCGTCCGATTTTACATAAATGGTGCACCAAACTCCTAAGGTTTGTCCGATTAACACGAAATTTTGCACAACGTATCTATATGAAGGAGTTGCCAGATCGAAACAAAATTTAACATGTGTTCATAACAGAGATGGAAGTTGCCAAAGCACTTAATATTTAAACTTATGGCTCTGCTAGTCCTTGTGAAAATGGTCTTGAAAAATATAGGCTTATAAATTTGCAGTCTTTGAAAAAAATATTCTTTGAAAAAGTATTCATAAAAATTCACGGATGGGTGTAATTTCTAGAAATAAATATTTGATGGTGTGCTATATTTTCTAGTGTGGGTATTACGAAGGCGGTACAAAATTAAATTTAACACGATTTATGATGTGAAAATTAGCAGATAAATCGGCCATTTAGAAAACAGAAAAAGTTATCTGATTTTGTTCGTTCATGTCACTGGGTGTGTCTTTATTGTTTTATAACAATTCTAATTACTGGGTTAAAATGATAACAGACATTAGTAGTTTAATATCGCTATCGATGTTATCTGTATCTCTGGATATTTAATTTAAATATCACACGTTAAATTAAAAAATATTTTTTAAAAAATATTTGTCAACGACTATTTGGGTAGCGTTTATTTTTAAAGTATATTTTCTCTAGGACCATCAGGGTATTAGAAGTTGATTTTTAAAGAACCATTAGAGTAATAGGCATGGATTTTTAAGAATATTTTCGGGGACCATCAGGATAATAGGCGTGGATTTTTAAAGTATATTTTTTCAAGAACCATCAGGGTATTAGAAGTTGATTTTTAAAGAACCATTAGAGTAATAGGCATGGATTTTTAAGAATATTTTCAAGGACCATTAGGGAAATAGGCGTGGATTTTTAAAGTATATTTTTTCAAGAACTATCAGGGTATTAGAAGTTGATTTTTAAAGAACCATTAGAGTAATAGGCATGGATTTTTAAGAATATTTTCGGGGACCATCAGGATAATAGGCGTGGATTTTTAAAGTATATTTTTTCAAGAACCATCAGGGTATTAGGAGTTGATTTTTAAAGAACCATCAGAGTAATAGGCATGGATTTTTAAGAATATTTTCGGGGACCATCAGGATAATAGGCGTGGATTTTTAAAGTCTCAAGGACCATCAGGATAATAAGCGTGGATTTTAAAGGAACATTTTCTCAAGGACAAAGGTTTTTTAAAGGGCCTACTCTGATGGCGGATTTTTAAAGAATTAGGTCTGGAATGATGTGTGTTAAGTTTCCTGAAAATCGGTCCAGATTTAGATATAGCTCCCATATACGTTTTCGTCCGATTTAATATAAATGGTGTACCAAAGTCCCTATATATCTTTTGATTTGCACGAAATTTGGCATATCGTAATAAATTTAGAATAATGTTTTTTAATTTTCCTGAAAGTCGGTCCAGATTTAGATATACCACTAAAGTAATAGAAGTGAATTTTTAAGAAATATTTTGTTCAAGGAAATAAATAAAAAAATATTTTTTGTAGAATATTTTTCAAAGACCATCAGAGTAATTGGGGTGGATTTTTGCAGAATATATTTTCCACTGACCATCAGGGTAATAAACGTGGATTTTTGAAGCATATTTTTCAAGGACCATTAGAGTAATAGGCGTGGATTATTTCATGTTTTTTCTTATTTAATGTATTTTATAGGATCATCAAGGTCGGTTTTAAGGAATACTTGTTCAAGGACTTTTAATGACGTAAGCGCGGATTCTAAATTTCAATATTGCCTCCCATTTATATAGTAGCTAGGAGATCTTGCACTCGTTAGAATATAGTTAATTTTCCTAGCATTTTTATAAAGCCCTCCTATTAAAAAATCAATTCAAAACTGCAACCACTTAACATTTGATCTGCAAACAAAGTGCGTGCGTGTGTCCAGTTACCAGTACCACAAAAAAAAAAAAAAAAAAACACCAACAACTTCAATAACGCCATAAAACATCCAACCTCTACAACAACAAACCCCAAAGATCTAAATGTTTTACAACTTTGTGATTTGTTTTGATGAATGTAAACAATTTTTCACTGTCCGACTAAAGGTATATCGGCGGTGGTGTTGGTGCATACAGTAAATGAAACGATACTACGCGCCAAATAAAAAAGATTTACATTTAAATTACACGAAAAATTGCCATTTAAGCTGTCATTCATACAAAATGTTCGCATGGTGTTATTTAAGACCTGTGCGTGTGTGTGTGAATGAATTAAGATTTAAAGCTTATGATTAAAAATAAATTAACCTCCACGTTGTTACGGTTAATGAAAATAAAAACGAAAAAACTACAAAATACGCTAGGGAATTTTCCGTATGTTATGCGCCGAGTGGGATTTGATTGGAGTTTCCGTTCGAGTCTAACAATTGTCATTAACTTGTCAATGAGCGGGATAG